AATACCAAACAATCAAACGGAACATCCAGAGCATACGACTCACACAGATGAGAAATGTTCAAATCCGAAATATCCAAAGGAAGATTTCGTTACGCCATCGAGTTCACATATGAAGATTCATACCGGTAAGAGGCCGTTCTCTTGCCAGAATTGCGCGGCAAATTTTACCACATCAGGGAGTCTGCGCAGACATACAGTGATTCATACCGGTAAGAGACCGTTCTCCTGTTCGGAATGCACAATGAATTTCACCCGGGTAAAGTATCTAAATGAACATATTGGGATTCATATCGGTAGGAGGCCGTTTTCTTGTCCGAAATGCAGGCAAATTTCACATTGTCAGGGAATCTGCATAGACATATGAGGATTCATGATAATGATAGGCCAGATTCAACTGCATTGAGTGCGACAAAGCTTTCTTGTCGAAATCCTATTTGGAAAAACATATGAAGAATTGCGTGTAGTATGAGCTGATAGACGTATTTTGAACAAAAATACGTATTGATATTTCTGGTATTGTTTCATTTTCCATAAGATAAATTCGTTTTTCCGTATTATATTGTCAGCATTCTATTATTTTATATGTGTATCAGTATTGTTCCTCTGAGATGAGTAAGACAACTATTCGCAACTCACACGAGTGAGTTGCCAGCAATTTGGAACATTCACTGAATACAAATCAACTATTCGCAACTTAACGAGATATTTTTGCAGAAGCGGTTAGAAAATTATGTGACATTTATTATTTTATATTTTTCTTCCATTAATGGAGTGCACAGGACATAATATTTAGTTCACACAAAGTATATTTGCTGGAGAGTTCGATCTCTCAAATCCAACACCCACAAACCCCCATTTTGTAAAAACATTGAAGGAATAAGGTTAGTTGTTGGTTATTATCAATTTGGACATTTAACATAATGTCGCGGCGCGTTACGCTGTCTGGCATATCACACCTCATTCACTATGCGAGCATTGCTTACCCAAAAGCCTCTCGAGGCGACTTTACCTGGAGGTTGGGGGGATCGAACCCCCGCCCTCTCGCATGCAAAGCGAGCGCTCTACCACTGAGCTAAACCCCCAATCATTCTTATCAGCTTATATCAACAATCACTTGTTTGCATATGTTAATTATTCTACAAACTGAGCACTTCACATCAAATTAATTTTTGGTAAGTGGAATATTTTCT